TTAGGTCCTTGGGTGACTGCGGTCACGGGGGAGCGATGCTGTGTGCGTGCTCCGAGGTGAAGAGTGGTTGAGTGCCACGATTCACGCCGATTCTCAATCGGATAAGATCGCTCCTGCGATCGAGGCAAACCAGCCGTTGGTGCGCCAGAACGGACTTTGTGTTGCAGCGTGACTTCCGGTCACGGAAGCTAGGCTTTGTGCGCGCTTCAAAAGTAGGAGTGGCGAATGCCACAATCAAAACCATCTTCAATGGGGTTTTGGATCGCTCCCGCGATCAGGGGATAGTAGGTCTATCAGAGCTAGGGTGTAAGTAGATTATTAAGTGTATATATTTGTTTTGTTTTCTTGTTAATAAATATATTTGTTATACGAAAGCTCTGTGTCCGTGGTCGCTGTGAGTATCCATGACGTCACATTACAAACACTTGCAACCAATAAAATAATATTCATTCACGTCGTGCGTGACGTGTATTAGTTACTGCAAATGGACATCTTTTAAATAATGTTTATATTTTTAAGATGCTGTCACAATTGGACAACGCAGTGCATGCCCCGCGACCAGATTTCAAAATTCCTGAAACGTCATGCCAACCAACAAACACCACGTTCCCGTTTCTAATTTCCGCGCCTTGATACTATCTACGCGTCAATCCTACATCGAATAAAAACTACTTTCTCCTTGTGCATGTAAACTATCACTAAACTTATCATTAACTACCGTTTCCTCCTTCGCATCTCGTCTCTCACTCATTATGCGTCCATTCGTTATCTCATTTCATCTGAGATCTCTTGCACTACAGTGCGAATTCCATTTTACTTTCAAGTATTTTTTAAATATCTGACACCAATACGCAGTTATGTGTCTAAAACATGAAGTTTACAAGAGGGAGACTCAACTCTGATGATGTGGGTATATGTCTGTAAGAGGCTGTCCATAAATTACGTAAAGAAACTTTAGAGTATTTTGAATACCCCTCTGCCCCTTGTGACGCACCTTGAACCCCCCTACTTCACGCTTGAACCCTCCCCTAAATAATTACGTAACACTTGTGACAACGTCATAAATTTACAGTATGTAAAAATAAATTATAAAGAAGTAACAAGCTGTGGTATTAATTTTATTTGTGTTGTATATTAAAATTTATGAGAATTGAAGTTAGAATTAGTTGATGAACCTGACCACACCTAACAGTAAGTTTGGAGACATTTTATGAGTAAAGAAAGGGTGCATAGGCGATCCAATTTCCGACAAGAAATCGTTCACCCGCCGTCGTGGATAATGCATGGGCGAGAGACTATTGTGCCGATATAATTGGATTCTAGAATATACCACATATCAGTTTTTGATTATTTTCTTCGTAATCTAACAAATTCTAATCAATATATCATTGGTGAAAATTATTTTCATTTATTGTAACACATCATAATTGCTTTAATTTATTTATATTTTAATTGAATTTGTTAATAATTTAATGTTTTATTATGAGAATAAATCAAAGGAATTATTTCAGTGAATACTGAAAATTTAGAAAACATCAACAATACATAACACTAAGCTAACACCCCATTTCCTTTGAAATGCAGCGTACCGCTGCTAAACCCCCTCCCCTCTCTTCGGCGATGTAGTTGATGGTCGACCCAGCTGCAATGTTGAAGCCACGTTGGACAGGAGACTCATCCCCGGTGTTGGAGACAGGGTGGGGGGATGTCCGAAAAGCGTCCGCAGCTAATCGGACATCGTTTGTGCTTCAGCGACATCACAGGGTCAACGGGAGAAATTTTAAGGCATTTCGGCCAATGACCAGCAAGCTCAGTCAACGCCTTCTACACTTAATGAAACCCATTAGATGGCGTTGAACAAGTACGTGTATGCGCGTCGTTATTGGCGGTAAAAAGAGGGGGTAAGTTCCTTCTCTCACCGCTCGGTGTCGCTGAAGCAAATGGTGTCCCATTAGCTGCCGTCATTTTTCGTACATCATGGTGGGGGGGGGGGGCACCATCCTGTCTCCAACACCGGAGATGAGTCTCCTTCTTATGGACTTCGTGGTCTAAAAATGTTCAATTTTTCTTCCTACGTGCCACTTCTTCTGTTTCCTGTCGTCGAAAGCAACTTTAATCACTTTTGTGATTGGTCGGTCATTATTTATTTGATTAATTTAATTGTTTTCTTAACCTAATTGTTATATAAATCTTCAATTTACAAAATATGTATAATTTTTTCTCTCGAATAAAATCATAGTTTTAAATCAGAAACAGTGTAATTTATTTAAACGGTAAGATCTGTACACTCAGCCGTGTATAACTGTTTATCAAATGGCACTTAATTTTAATGAGGTTTGGATTACTTCACATGTGATTTATTTGTCTTCAGTGCAGAAATTTGTGTAAAATAGTATTTGTTGTTCAATCAGCACGTACCTTGTTCGTTCAGGTACAGTCCAAGGGATGGAAAAAAAATTTCTTCAACGTCGGCAAACAGTTAATTACATAATAGTTAGTTACATTCCTACATTTCATTGACCAAGCCCCAGGAATAAGCTTGCCTGATTCATTTATTTTATATCTACGTGTCAATCATCTCATTTATTTTCAAAAGTAACTCTGTTCACAATGTGTACTGCGCTGGGATTCAGTTTTGCAACTATGCTGTCTTCAAGATTTTACTTCGAAATTTTTGAAGTTTGACTTTAACTTTCGTTATTACTCTGTCTGTACTCGAAAAATAAAGATTTTAGTGACTTGAATTTCAAAGTCTGGGATACTACTCCCCTTTCATTGCTAAATGTACCAAAGACCTTGATTGAAGTGCTACCCTACTTCAAGTCCTTTAAGATCGTTGCCAGTATGTTTCCGCCCAGTGTATACAATAATGTTTATCGGAGATCAATGAAGCTCCTATCAGACCCTGTTTTATTACTGACACTCAATGTTGTAATCTCACAGATTCTTTCATTATGTAGAAGTTTCAGGGACAGGTGGGGAACATTTTTTAAAAAAACGTTCTTGTGTAAGATTACAAGAAAACGTAGTTTTATAACACTACTCATCTCTATATTTTATCTACTATCTTGATAGTAATCAAACTTTCTTTCACTCTGAATTTTTTAAGTGAATTATTAATAAATGACTAAATACGGAAACGTATAAGCCAATACTTATTCTAAAAGTGAGACCTTTATTACTTTCTTTCACCGAATGCATTCCTTGATGGTGGCGAGAGAGATTCTGCAGTGAGTTATGCGCTTCTCTTTTTCGATTATCAGCTGAACCTCTCGCGCGTGTCACCATGTTCTCGCAGTTTCTCGAGTCAGATGTTTTCGAACAAAAGGACTAACGCCACCAGTAGAAATATACAAGAATGTATACGGCAATTATGCTATCAGATTGTCAATACACGAGTTACATTAAGCTCCTGATATAAGAACAGTTTAAATAAATAAATATTCAAAATAAAGTTAGTGGTGCAATAGAATGGCACAGACTTTCTCGTATGCTTTCTAATATATTTGATCTGGGCTTGCTTTTTGAACTTTTCTCATACTGCTGCCAATTGTCATCTATCGCCGACCTAAATATTTTTTTTGAAAATTTAGCTGTGTTCTAAGTAGAACCAAAATATTAATTTAATACTATTATAGACGAGTAAAACCGTGCCCCATAAGGACATTTTTGTTAAAAATTTTGGAGTCGTTTTTAAGAAAATGGCGTTTAAGCGTTACTGTAAATGCGAAATTTGATGCCCTTTTTTTCACGGAAAACTTCCACTCAAAAACTCATTAATATATAAAACTAGTTGGAAATCTGATCATTAAAGGCGTGAGATATATTTAAAAAATACATTTGTGTAATTTTGAAAATGAAATAAATACAGCAAAATACGTTTTGTGTCATCTTAAACAGTGCAACAAGCACCATCCGTATGAAAAGTTTGTAGCTGTTTTTTGAGAAAATGGCATTTGAGCGTATTTGAAATGCGGAATAAAACTTTTGAATATTCGATAAACTTTATAAGACATCATTGAAAGCAGGTCGCTCATAAATGTAATAATAGGAAGTAATCTCCGCTAATGTTAATATTAAAAACGTGAGAAACGATGCAAAAAATACATTTTTGTAATTCTTGAAAAAATACAAGAGTATAGAGCAAAATGGCATTTATGTCACCTTATAGAGTACATTTATCACTGTTCCTGTTAAAAGTTTAAAGGAAAAATTGGAGACGTTTTTGAGAAAATCTTGTTTTTGTTATTTTTTTAATATTGCACATATTTTATGCAATATTGCGAGAAACTGCTAAAATGTTCAAACAAAATGACCATGATCTTAATGAAAGAACTAATTCTGAAGAACAAATTCCATTTGAAGATAAAATATGTGTCTTCCATTGTAGTTAGATGCCGAAAAAAATGTTTTACAATTTTCGAAAATTCAGAGTTAACAGTGGAAATTGGACGTTTATATGTGAAGCCATTTTTTAGAAAACTTTGCAAATGTTGCAGGGGCTTCGTGTAAAGTACTGCCAAAAATTAATCAATGTGTTTCAATGTCGCAGAGCTTCGAGTGAAGCCAGATCCTTATGGGTTTATCCAGTTTGTAAAGAATTTTACGTAGAATTTAGGCGCTGTTCACATAGGCCAGTCAGATGGACGGCCAGACGGACTGACAGATGTTTTGAAATAAACAAACACTTTCGCCGTATCAAGGAACCCCAATACGTGTATTCCCGTTGAAATCTCTTAAGTTCACTGCTGCGTTGCATAACTTTCTTTATACTACGAATATTACTCATTATATACGTACGTATAAGATAAATTACTCATATGAGCAGGGTACCTATAGGTGGGGTAAAAGTCATCACCCCTAAACGTGGTGAAAAATTAAATTAATAAATTGTATACATGAAACATTGAATACGTGTCTTCGGACTGTATAGAAATTGTATTTGGAACCATGTTTTCATGTCAATTTAATCAAACACGTAGTTTTAAAATTGTCGATAAATGAAATCGGACACTCTCACAAGTAATTAAACTGAAGAGTGACACTCCCAAAATTTAACATTTAATGCAGAAGTCGTGAGGAATCCCTACAAAGAATCCTCGACGTCACACTGGGAGATCAATCAACTCTGCTTGAAACGGACGATGAGCTTGGGAGCAATCGACAGTGATTTTTGAATTCAATGTAGAATTTAAATGTCTTTATTTTGAGAGCATTCGAAATTAATTTTCAACATTATTTTTAATTAATTTAATACATTATTTTTTCTATCATTCCTGCCATCATTGTAAATAAATCACATGGATAATTTGTTATTATTATTGTTAGTAGTATTGATTTTATTTTTACGAATAACGTAATAAAATTTTAGTGCCCTGAATTTCGGTGTAAATTGTCGCAGTCTCCAGTTTAGGTGCCAACTAGTTCCACGATGAGCTCAATCACCTCTAAATACATTTATGTGTGCAGGCCCATCCGACAGGCCGTTGGAAAGCGACCAAAGTCCGTCGCCGCTCGCGCACGTTTTCCCTGAGCGGAGCGGAACGGCGGCGGCGGCGGCGGCGGCTGCAGCGGCGGACTGCGGAGGTCGGCAGCGCGTCAGCGAAATGCGGCAGCGGCGGCGCGGCGCGGCGCAGCGCAGCGGACACGCGAGGGCGCGGGGAAAGGAGAGAGTGGCGTAATGCGGACATCGCTCGCACAGATGCCTCATGAGGAACAGCAGCTGCTTTGAATTCAGTAGTATCGTAGGTAAGAAAAAATCCTCCCTAAGCGGTCACTCAATTAATTTTCGTCATTTCCATTGATTGATTGTTTTCGGGCACGTACGTCATCTGCGAAGATCATTAGTCCTGTTTTTTTTCGCGTATTGCTCAACTCGAACCACGCGTACATCCTCCTTTAGTAGGTGGTTCACCTTTCTGGAAGGATGAGTATTTTAGCGTAATCCCGATTTTTATCCCCCAAGGTTGTTAGCCCTGGCGGTATGGACGAGAAGATGATGATGGTGATAATGGTGATGATGATGGTGATGGTGAGGGATGAAAGGACGGCTCACACACGTAGGCAAACACAAATACACAGCCATACCCGAGGCGGGACTCGAACCCGCGGTCTTCTGGTCCGAGATCTCTACCGCACTACTGCCCTAACCATCTCGGTCATCTGACCGGCAATTAGTCGCGTTACTATAGTCAATGGTTTATTATTGGAGGTGGTGATGTTACTCTCCCACTGGGTGGGATCCACCACCGACCTACATCTCGATTTGAGAAGGGAACTCCCCTCCAGGTATCTCCCCTGTGGGGCACCGCTCTAGCCAGAATGAGCTCTAGGCTGCGGACTGATCTCCCGGCATGTGTATCAGTGTAAAGTGTGCGTCAGAGGAGAAGATACGACAAAGAAGAGGAAAGAAAAATCGCGCGCGTTTCGCGGCCCGTTAGGATACTGCTCCGCCATTTGCCTAGTATTGATGGGAGACCTGGCATTGCAGTCATGCCAGTTCATCTTCAGAATTATTAAACAGCACGCAATGTTTACTCTGGCTGATAACGAACTAAAAGCACACGCAAGAAATTACGTTTAATTCAAAACAGCATTGTTCTTCAAAGTGTATACATTTTACCTGATTTATGTTTGCGCCCAGCCTCTTTGCATACAGGCTTATATGAACATTTACTATTACTTAATCATGTAATACAACATTTAAAAGAAGTTATGAAAAAATAATTCATCTTTTCGTATTCGTTATGATGAAAACTTTGTTAAAATCAGTTTGCAGAATGTCTTTCATGCACAGAAACGCAACTCCCTTAATGTTTAAATCAAGTGTCTTTCGTTGCAGTGACACAGATAGCCATAAAATCGACAGGGGAAAATTAATTAATACAAAATGATATCAGATAAGATGTATACGCTTTGACGAAGAACGCTGTTTTGAGTTAAACGTAATTTTATAACGAACACTTCTGAACACCAAGAGGTCCGCGATGGATGTAACTTGCTCTCCAAGCGAAAGCGTTTTGGCTTTCGCTCGGAAGACCTGGCTCGCGTCTACGTTCTCGCTTCGGCTCTCGCAGTGTTTTATAAATCTCCCTAGAAAGTGATTTTAATTTATAGGGAATTGTACCTTCTGAATTCGAAACGCTACTTCAGCTCATTACTACCCCATTAATTTAAAGGAAACTAAAAGCAGAAAGGATACCTTACTTAATTGCGCCGATGAAATAATTTGTGGAGTTTTAACCTCGTTCGCAACTGCTTCCTCTCTGCGGCGCTAAAATGAAAAAAAAATCCGATTTTGATAGGGATCAGCTTCTGTTGGCGCGGAGCGCTAGTGGTCTGAAACGCCTCTCCCTGTTGGGAGCTCTCGTGCTCCGGAAGTGGCCAAAAGTGGTGCCAGGTTGGGGAAACAACGACACGTTGTTCATTCGCATGTCAGCTACGGTGCATTGGAGGGAAGTGGAGGCTGCTGAGATTGTTCTGTGCGACCGCAGGATCACAGTTCCAGATAAAGCTTCAACGGTCCCCGTTAGAAATCTACTCTCTGAAAGTTGACCCATTCTTGTCGACAAAGCATAAAGGCAAGCGACGGATGAGCTGAGTTGTAGAGCACTGTCACACGGCTGACGAGCTGAGGGCACGAGTCGTATTAAACGCAGGCAAACTGGACGGTTTGTGGGTGCCTTTAAGAAACACAGACGCGCGATCAAAGACCGGTGAACCTCACGTATGCCCGTGGGGGTCTAATTAGGTTTCGGCCGCACGCGTCTGGGCAGTTGCAATGGATTAAAGACAGACGCAACGAGCAGTCTGCTAATAGTTTTTACTTCCTCGCACTTCGTAAGAAGATTAATTTATAATCGGGCGCCCGAAAACGGCTAATGTTTGGCAGAAAACCTCTTAGTTTTGGGCCCTGGTAACGAAAACGTGGTTAAGTCCTGTTCCTTTATGTAGTAAATTGCTTTCTCTATCACATGGTGTATCCAGAATCCATGTTTTGTGGGACCTTGATATTAAACAAATGGCAAAACGTCTGTCTGTCCGACTGTCTGTGGTCAAGGCTAGCGCCTAAACTGTTCAGATTTTTTCCAAAATAGATTTTCTCCTATCGATCTGAACGAACTTGAGACTTTGGGATAATGCTAATGAATATTTTGATTTTTGACGGTAGTTTACATAAATCTTTAAAAAATTTCCAAGTTTTCTCAAATATGACTAAAGCTTTGTTTATTAAATTTTTTCTAGATTAGCTTACAGGACGCTTAAAAGAACGGGGCAGGTTTCGTGATCGTTAAAATTCAAGATTTTTGAAAATGGCAATAGTGTTTTTTGGCGTCTTTCTACAACTATAATTCTAAAGGTGGAGATTATTGTATATGTAACTTTACCTTTTTTCGCAAAATATAGGCAATTTTCATTTTTTTAAACACTTTGTCTCAAAAACCGTTTCAAGTTTCATCTTTAAATTTTCTCCTAATGTATCAAGGGATGGCAAAAATTTGCTACTAGTCTCATTTTCGGAGAATTCTCTATATTCTAAAACTGCAAAAAAATTAACATTTCACTACTATAGAATTGAAGATATAATTTTTTGCCTTAGACAAAATCAGTTCCAAAACTAAAACAATGCTACTCAATTCTATTCTTTCAAGACGTTTTGTATCCTTTTAGTCTAAATGATGATTGTTCTTTAAAAATACATGGTTGTAAAATTTTCGTTGATTAGATTATGTAAATTAAGGAGACAATCACACACAGACGCTCATACATACACTTGGGCACGGATAGTACCTTCCTTGTTTCACCCTTATTGTAATGGTTGGTGGGTAATGCTGGGTGTGAAATACGCTCATCAAGTATAAATTATTTCACTGCCATAAATATCTTTAATTAATTAAAAACGTGTAGAATGTAATAAATTAGCGCCCAAATAAAATTTTGTGTATACGTGAATCTGTACGTATGAATGTTCATGCATGTGCGTTCTTGCGTGAGTGTGTGTATGGTTATCTGCTTTGTTTACGTAATGTAGAAAACAAAAATGTTACAACCATTGATATGATTTTTAAGAAATAAACACATTTTTAGAAACTGAAGATTGCATTTTGAAAGCCTTTCCGGGAGAGAAAGTTCTCTAATAAACTTTCCCGGACTTTTATGTTTCTCTTTAGTAGGTATTGGAGTATATCTAGCCGTATATCTAGCGTAGGACAATTTTAATTTTTTTTTCTCAAAAATGGCAATTTTTTTCTTAATTTTTCCTCAAAGAGAGCAAAGTGTCCTTAATAATATTATATATAATATCCCTAAATTTGATTAAAACATCAATAATTTAAACTAAAAATGATTTCACTGTTTGGGAGAACGTATTAATGTAAGAGTTTTCTTGGAAACTTAATAAAAATAAGTTCTGAAGTCATGTAGATTCTTCCTAGCTACATGTTTTGAGATTGGGAACAACACAACTGGAGGCGGACATTTACTCATTGGGTATATGCAGCTGATAGAGGACAGTACATCCAGTAAATGAATATTTTAAAAATTTCGTTGCGACCAATTTATTAATTTCAGTTTGCCTCTAGTTATTTTTGGTATTTTGCCATTAGCCAGTTATTAATTCAAATGAACATCGTTCGCTGTTCTTCAAAATTCAATTGTTTTTGATAAGACTTACAATAGTTTTGTTTATTTTTAATTCCACTCTTGTCACTCTTTTATGCAATTGTTAGTATATTAAGCAATTAAATAATTAAAATTTTGTTTCAATTATATTACACATAATATTTTTGTACATATATGTGAAATATTTTTTTAAATGTCCTTAATATTAAAGTGCTGTCTACACTCTTTCCTAAGCATTCCAACGGCGCCCTCGAAACCTATGTTGGAAATTCTTGATCTAAAACAATCAAGACGTTTTCCGAAGTGTCCATGCGTACCATTTCATCCCGTAGTCTTATCTCCCCTTCCCCTGTCAGTGAGGTTGGGACCTTCGACAGCTTTCTTTTTTGCCCAGACAGAAGTCCGTCGCAGCTCACGCCAATGTTAAAATATACACCTTTACTCGTGTTGTGGCGCTTCCGCGCATTAATGAGGCTCGTGCGTTCGCGCCTCCGCCAGCGCGCGTTCCTTCGCGCGCGTGTGTCGCGTAACCGTTGAGCCAGTTGCTGTCGGCGGCGGCGGCGGCGGCGGCGGTGGCGGCGGCGGTGGCGGCGGCGGAGGCGGCGGCGGAGCGGCGGCGGCGGCGGCGGGGGCCGTGGGGACGCAACGGAGGCGAGCCGCACTCTTGCAGCCGATGCGTATCGACGTTCGATTGCGGCCGATCCGTGGCTTGGACGCTCCGCCCATGAAGCGCGGGCGCTCGCCTTTGGCGTATTTGGCACCCGTGTTGACGGAACAGGTCACACGGACTCTAGCCGTGATCACTGCACGGTACGTGGTCGAACGTTCGATTGGCCGGCGCGATTGCGATGAGGGAGGGACTAGGAATGAATTAACAAATTAATCGGAAAAATTGACAGAGTTCAGACTCCCACGAATTGTAGTGCCTGATTTTCGCAAATCGACGAGCATATGGCTGCGTGTAAATCCCAAGAGGGTGGAAAAAACAGGGTATGCAAATGCAAGGGTTCAATATGCCGCTAAGTCTCTTCAGGACAACTCCGCTCGTTAGCTATGCGCC